GTGGTGGATGAATGGATGATGGATGGATGGATGGATGGATGGTGGGTAGGTGGATGGATGAATGGATGGTGGATGAATGGATGAGTGGTTGGATGCATAGATGCATGGATGGATGGATGGATGGATGGTGAATGGATGGTGAATAGATGGATGGATAGATGGTGGGTGGATGGACGGATGATGAATGGATGGATGGATAGATGGTGGATGTATGGTGGATGGATGAATGGATGGATGATGGATGGATGGATGGTGGATGGATGGTGAATAGATGGATGGATGATGGATGGATGGATGGATGGATGGATGGTGGGTGGGTGGATGGATGAATGGATGGTGGGTGGACGGTGGATGGATGAATGGATAGTGGATGAATGTTGGGTGGATGAATGGATGGTGGGTGAATGGATGAGTGGTTGGTGGATGGATGTATGGATGGATGGTGGGTGGATGGATGGTGGATGGATGTTGGGTGGATGAGTGGATGGTGGATGAATGGATGGTGGGTGGGCGGATGAATGGATGGATGCATGAATGGTGGATGGGAAGATGGATGGATGGCGGATGGACGGAAGAATGAATGGTGGATGGATGGACAGGTGGATGGATGGTGAATGGACAGATGAATGGATGGTGGATGGATGGATGGATGAATGGTGGGATGCATGGACAGATAGTGCATGGATGAATAGTGGATAGGAAGAACAAGAACAGATGGACGGATGGATATACATATGGTTGATGGTCAATGGTTACTTGGTTGATTTTGTGGGTAGATGGGTAGATGTGGGTGAGCAGGTAAATACACAGATGCATGGATGGAAGGATGGATGGATTGGATGATGGATGGATGGATGGTGAATGGTGGGAAGCATGGATGGATGGTGCATGGATGAATGGTGGGTAGGAAGAATGGATGGATGGATATGGATATGGGTTGATAATAGGTGTTTGGTGAATTATTGGTTTTGTGGATAGATAGGTAGATGTGGGTGGTAAATAAATGGATGGGTGGATGGGTGGGTGGATGAATGGATGATGGATGAGTGACTGAATGAACTGATAAAATAACAGATGAATCTTACTACCTGATCAACTTGGAATGAGAATGAATAACCCACTGGTGAAGCCACTGGACAAAGTGTGCTGGTCACTTTGCCTCCCTCCTCCCAGAAAAGAATGTGAAATACAATCAGGCTCCCTGGGAACCCCCCCCACCCCGCCCCACAAACCATGTTTCCAAAGGGGTAGGGGTGCAGGCTAAAAAGTCACAGCCTTTGGGAATCATGACTGTCACTCTCTCCTGGCCCCTGAACCTGAGGGAGCAGGCCTAAGACAGGCACACAGCTAGGGCCAACTGTCACGGGGGCCAGAGCAGTGACGGCGCCTGGTTCAGACACTGCCCAGTCTGGTCACAAGCTTTGTCTGTGATTGAGGAAAAGCTAGGCCAATGAGGCAGGGAAGTTGCCAGCCCAGTAGTGGCCCTAAGAGGTCTTAGAGCCACATTTTCTGATCCCCTCTCCTGCCTCCCTCCAGCCCTGCCTTGGGCTTCACAGCCCTCCTCCCACGAAGCCTCCCACTCTCCTGGGCTTACTGGCTAAGGGTTCAAGCATCAGAAGCATTTCCTTGGAGAAGGCAGAACAGCTGTCCCCTTGGCTGGTGCTAATTACACCAGCCACAGTTTATTGGGCACCTATTATGTGCTGGGCACTGTGACCTAAATGTTCCACATGCACTGTCTCACTGTTCCTCATAATAACCCTCTATGAGGTAGGCAGTGGATGTCCCCATTCTATAAGTGGGCATACCAAGGAGAAGGTTAACTGGCTTGTCCAAGACCACTCAGCTAATGCTCAGAGCTGGAATCTGAGGCCTCATCCCACCAGCTCTTGAACCCTGGCTTCGACCAGCCACCCCAACTCCCAGGAGAATCTGGCAGCTTCTGGTCCCCAAACCAGAAGAGGCACCCACCCTGCCTTCCTCCTGGGAGCTGGCTCAGACACCTGCCTCAATGCCAGTGCTGGCTGGGGCAAACCCCTCCCCACCACCGGCAAACCCCTCCCCCCCCCACCACTGCATGGGAAACAAGAATCCACTGCTGAGAGTGAGCAACTCCCGGGGGAGGTGGGAGATGCTGGGCCTGAGTCTTCCCCTCCAGAGTCAAAGAAAAATATCCGACAAGTCATGAGTTCAACAGCCATAGATTTAAAAATCATTGTCACAGCTTCCAAAACACTAGTTCCTCCAGCCACACGCTTCCATGTTTTAGAACCAGCTGGCTCTGGGTCTGCGGGAGTCGCTGCCGCTGAGCTTGGACCCAGGTCTGCAGGGGGGCTATGGTGAAGAGCTCAGGGTGATCGGGGGCCAGCAGTGTTACTTGACAGGAGACCTGGCTGGGGATGTCCTCACAGCCAGGAGCCAGGGTGACCTAGGGAGTCCCAGCCCTCAGACACTGAAACCACAACCATCTCTCAGGCATGCATGGTTTCAGGTGCTGGGCACGGCAGGTGATCGAGTGAGTTACACTTGAAGGGGAGCCCACAGACCCAGGAGGAAACTGATGATAACATTTCAAGTATGTGGGGTGTAGTGACACAAGCCTGTAGTCCCAGTTACTGGGGAGGCCGAGGCAGGAGGATCACTTGAGCACAGGGGTTTGAATCCAGCCTGGGCAGCATAGCAAGACCCCATCTCTTCCAAAGAAAGCATGACGACGTGTCTCAGAGTGACTGGAAGGCCCTGCCTTGGCTAGGGTGGCCCTCCTCATCATGACATTTGAGCTGGGGGCAGCAGTGAGCAGAGGAAAGAGCAGGTCAGGCAGAGTTCACAGCCAGGGGCCCAAGGCAGAATGGAGCGTGGAGGGCTCCAGAAGCAGCAGGAAAGCTAGTGTGGCTGCTGGGAACAAGCGGGCACAGGCGTGGACCCAGACAAGGGCTTCACAGGTGACTGTAGCCATGTGGGTCAGGGTCTGACTTGTGTTCACAAGGTGACCTAAGCTGCTGTGCACAAGGTGGTAGCGAGGACTGGGTAGAAGGCCCTGGAGGGGATCAGCAGGAGGGGACAGAGGCTTGGACCCAGAACATGGAGAGAAGCCAGGAGCCTGGGAAGGCTCTGGAGGTGGAGCAGCTGGCCTTGCTGAGGGATGGGGGCAGAATCCCCAGGCCAGAGGTGCCAGAGCAGGGTGGCTCTTCTGCAGCGCTCTGGTGGCACCCCTGGAGGGTCTGTGACCGATCCACCAAGGCGGAGCATGGGTGGTGGGCAGGATGACCAGAGCCCCACCTCTCTGGTCCAAGCAGCCAGCGGGGTGCCTACGAGACTGGACGCACCTTCCCTGGTCTCCTTCCCTCCCCAACCTCTATATCCAACACAGTCAGGGAGAGCTGGAGTGTGAGATGGGAAAGATGGCCAAGGGACTCCACCAGGGGGGTGGGTGCAGCCCCAGAAATGCCATCGATGCCACAATAGGGCCACACCCCAAACACCACAACAAACAACTTCCTGAGGAAACCAGTGAACTGGCTTACTAGGGAGCCAGCCTCCTGGGTGGAAAATGTCCACTCATTTTGGTGCCTGTGCTGGGCCTGAGTCTTCCCCTCCAGAGAATGGGTCTGATTCCAAGGACTGAGGATATGACAGACAACCACTGTCCCAGCAACCCCACCCCAAGTAAGGACTCCCCTATTCCCTGGGCCCCAGCATGCTCCCTGCCAACTTGGCCTGACTGACAGGCGAGGTGAGTGCCAGGCTCCTGTAGGGGCCTGGTCACAGCATTAAAGCCACCAAGTAACCTAGCAAGCAAACAGGAGGGGGCAGGGGGCGTGGCCACCTGGTAGGAATACCCTCCAGGGAAGACTCTGCGCTGCTTCCTGCAACAGGAGCTGGAGGTGTTCATTTGTGGAAGCTTCTCACCCCTGGAAGTCAGAGGGGCCAGAGGCACATTCCTGGGCCCGGGAGGGCCTCCAGCCTCCCACAAGTCTCTCCGAAGTCCAGAGAGGCCATACACTTGGTGTGGGGAAGCCGAGAAGTAAGAGTCTCCCAGAAAGGAGGGAGGGTGGCTGACAGGGTGGGGCTCTGTCCAGCTGTGCCGGGAGGGAAACCATCCCAAACAAACGATGAGCAGTTAACTCAATAACTGTCCTGCAAGGCAAGCCCTGGCCCACGGCCCCGTGATGCTAAATTCCGAGAGAGAAAGAAGGAGAGAGATGACAAGGGCAGGGGCGGTGGCCCTGGGGTGTCAGGCCTGTAGCCAAGGCAGGGTGGGCTAGGAACGCCACCATCCTGGGCAATGGGGGTGCTGGAGACAGCGGCGGGCGTCAGGGCGCGCCAGGAGGACGCCGGCGGCCCGGGTAAAGTGCTTGGGAGCAGCGGTCACAGCGCCCAGAGGCCAGGGAAGAGGAGCAGAGGTCCGAGCCGGTGCGCCCCAGAGCGGAGCCCTCCTGGGCCGGGAGAGAAGCCGCCCCATCCTGGGCGCTCGCCGTGTCCCCAAGCACCGCCAGTCCTCGCTCCGCTCTGGGCCCCACCCAGCCCACCCCGCGGCCGAGATGGGCCAGGGGCTGGGTCCCGCCTGTCCGCGGCGAGGCTAGAGGCGCGCGGCGTTGGGACGCGAGCGCGGGGTGCGCCGCTCCAGGAGCCACCGCGATTCCCGCCCCCTTCAAGGGCACACGGGCTGACCCCGGCAGCGCCGCGACCCGTCCCGGCCGGGGTGCCCAGCGCAGGCCCCGCCCGCCATCCTCCGGCCCGCCTGGCCCGCGTCGCCGCCCGGGGGGCCTGGATCGCACCCCGCCCTTGGCCGCCCGCACGCCGCGCCGGGGCGCTCACCCAGCCCGCGCCCTTGGCCGCGCGGCGCCAGTCGGGCGGGAGAGCAGCCCTGCAGCCCCTGCACCCCTCCCGCGCGGTGCCAGCCCAGCCGCGCCGCCCCCACCGCCTGCGCTCGGGCCCCGGCCCGGCCCGTCTCGGTGCCCCTGCCGCTCTGGCCCCAGGCGAACCCGCGCCCCGCTCACCTGACATCTCGTCCTCGTTCTCCATCTCCTCAGCGAACAGCCGCGGCAGCTCCTCCTCGGTGCCCAGTGGGCCCCGCATGCCCGGCGCGGGGAGGAGGGGAGGTGGGCGCCCCCCCTCCCGCCGGGCGCGGTGCCAGCCTTAACCCGTGCGCTGCCGGACGGGCGCGCGCGGCGGGCGAGGCGGCCTCGGCGAGAAGATGGCGGCCGTCTGCCCCCCCGCCCCCCAAACCTCCACCCCCCCGTCTCGACCCCCCTTGCTCTTGGCCGCCTTAGCCCGCTCCCCGCAAAGCCCGGGCGCTCCGCCCACCGCGCCCCGCAGCCCCAGTCCCGCAGCCGGCCGAGGGTGGCGGCGGCAGCGCCGGAGGCACAGCGGCACGGCGGGGGGGCGGCACACATGCCCGGATTGTGACGTCCAGTCTGGTTGCTGTGGCAACCCCATCCCATCGTTCCGGCAGCACGACTAGTTAACAGCAGAGAACAAGTTGGGGGACTAGTCCTGAGCCGCTGGTCTAGGGTGGGGACCGGGAGGGGGGTCGCCCCTGCAGGGGGAGCCGTCGAGGCGTCCGCGCGCCCGGGGACCCGACGGCCGAGCGGGCAGCCGGGGCTGGGCGAGCCCGGGCGCAGGGGGAGGCGGGGAAACGCCGCCCCCGCACACCCCTGGCAGGGCCAGCCGCCTCCTCCGCCAGCCTGGTCCTGGGCCCCCCAAGGGCGCAGAGGAGGGGTGTGCAGGGCAGCGCGCCGTCCGATACCCACTCTGTTCACACGCGCCGGGACCAGCCCTGCACCCGGCTCCGGCCTCGGCACGTTCCTGACCCTCTCTCCAAAGAGGATTATAAGAAAAATGTGTTCCACACTTAAGGAAAGGACGGAGACTGTGGGTCTGGTAACTGCAGAAAAATCCGCGCTGGCGGGCCCCCCTCACCCGCTTCCCTGCTCCCACCGCCCACGTGCCATCTTCCGAAAAACCCCTCCAGGCTGGGTCCAGCTCAAACCCATGCAGAGCCCTGGGGCAGTGCGAATCTGCGTCGTCTGTGCCCAAAATTCCCGCTCAGAAGCGACACCTGTCGCGGAGCGACAGGGAGCCGCCGCCACCAGTCCTCGGTCGTTAAAGGTGAAGATGGAGGCTAAAGCCCTCGGGAGCAGGACTGGAATTTTAAATGAGCGTCTTCAGTCTCCGCGGCTGCAAGTCAGAGCTACCTTAAAAACGCAAAAGTTCCAGGGGCCGGCCGGCTGCCAGCTCTCTAACCCCAGAGGGACTCCCTCTCTCACTGCCTCGCAGGGGCATTAGGGGAACCCACCTGAGACCCACCGGATCAGCTGGGCTTGGGAAGCCAAGAGCAGGGAGGAAGTCGCTGGAGCCCCATCCAGGCCAGCTCTAACCGCTGTCCCTGTTATGCTGGCATCCCAGGAGGGCTCTCCCTGTCCTGCCATCTTTGTGGAGCCGGGAGGGTTGTGCCCACTCGGCCAAGGGTCCCCAGTGCAAGACCTTTTCGGTAGGTCACCACAACCCAAGCCAGCATGAGTGCAGGCTGCTGGCCAGAAGGCAAAGGATGGCTGGGGAAGGGCAGAGAGAAGGGAGCAGTTCTCCCGTTCTTCCCATCCAATTTAATTGCAAGCAAGTCCCAAACAAAAGACCCTCTGCATTCATTCCTGGGCAAGGAGAGGTCGGTCCAGTCTCCTAGAACCAAAGACTAGGGTGTTGGGAACCCCTCCATCTCCCAGACACCCTTTAACCACGCTGTAGATAGATTAGCCCAGTGCTGGCCTTCGGCAAGGGGAAAGGAACCCTCTGCAGGCAAGCAGGCCAGGAAACCAAAGGGCTCCCCTCCCAAGGTGGTTTCCCCACGGAGCAGCAAGTCAGGGGGAACCCCACATCAGAGGCTTGAACCAAAGCTGCCTCTTCCTTGTTCTTTCCAGACCAGCTGTCTCCCTGAATGGTAACCACGTGGGAAGAAACCCCTAAGCTGACATGCCCACCCCTCAGTTACCCAGCCCCACAACACCTCTCTAATCCCCTTCAAAGGTCCCCTGCCCTTCAGCAGAAAAACTCTGACTTACAATATTTCTCATCACCAGAAAGCCGCCCCCATCATTAACCTTGGCTCCAATTCCCAAGGCGAGGCTGAGAAAGTCAAGATATCATTCAAGAAAGAACAGTTCTAACTGCTTAATTTGGCAACAAATTAGAGTCGAGATGCTCATCAGTCATAATCCTCTCCCCATCCTGTTCTTCCTGATGACTGCAGCTAGGTAATATTATTTAATGTCCAAAACCAAAAACTGGAATGTTAGAAACAAATGGACTTTTTACTACAAATCCCCAGTCATTTTTAAAGGAGAGCTCTTATTGTTAAATATTAAATGGTCATTTTAATGACAATGGCCAAAAATGCATGATGTTAAAAGCAATCCCTAAAAAGGTGAACATTCAGTAAACCCTGCAGTTGCGAGAGCAAGCCTGTCGGTACCTTACTGATTCAGTAGACGAGATTCTCATGTTTGCCCATCATAGAGCTCATAATTACACCTCAGTGACAATTCAAAAATTAAAATGTTTTTTAACATATTGGTTATACAAGCATCAAGGAAAAAAAATGCTTTCCAGCCAGTTGCAGTGGCTCATGCCTGTAATCCCAGCACTTTGGGAGCCTGAGGTGGGTGGATCACCTGAGGTCAGGAGTTTGAGACCAGTCTGGCCAACATGAAGCAACCTTGTCTCTACTAAAAATGCAAAAATTACGAGCCGGGTGAAGTGGCTCACACCTGTAATCCCAGCACTTTGGAAGACCGAGGCGGGCGGATCACAAGGTCAGGAAATAGAGACCAGCCTGGCTAATATGGTGAAACCCCATCTCTACTAAAAATACAAAAAAATTAGCCAGTTGTGGTGGCGGGCGCCTGTAATCCCAGCTACTTAGGAGGCTGAGGCAGGAGAATCGCTTGAACCCAGGAGGCAGAGGTTGCAGTGAGCCAAGATCGCGCCACTGCATTCCAGCCTGGGGTATAGGGCACTACTCTATCCCAAAATAAAGTTGATGACACATAATAATAATTAAAATTTTTTTTAATTTTAAAAAGAAGACAATTTAGCTGGACATGGTGGCGTACACCTGTAATCCCAGCTCCTTGGGAGGCTGAGGCAGAACCACTTGAATTTGGGAGGCAGAGGTTGCAGTGAGCCAAGATTGTGCCACTGCATTCCAGCCTGGGTGACAGAGTGAGACTCTGTCTCAAAAAAAAGCTTTTTCCAAGAACAGAGTTGAAAAAGCGCATCAGCCAGGTGCGGTGGCTCACACCTGTAATCTCAGCACTTTGGGAGGCTGAGGTGGATTACCTGAGGTCAGGAGTTCAAGACCAGCCTAACCAAAATGGTGAAACCCTGTCTCTACTAAAAATACAAAAAATTAGCCAGGTGTGGTGGCAGATGCCTGTAATCCCAGCTACTGGGGAGGCTGAGACAGGAGAATCCCTTGAACCCGGGAGGTGGATATTGCAGCGAGCTGAGGTTGGGCCATTGCACTCCAGCCTGGGCAACAAGAGCAAAATTCTGTCTCAAAAAAAAAAGAGAAAGAAAAGAAGAAAAAGAAAAAGCACATAATCTTCTGCACATACCATACAGTCCATTTCCATTCCAGGGCTACCTGAACTCCTATCCAGGCACCCCCAAGCCCTGCCTGAGGCCAGTTGGTTCAACAATGCGTATCCATGCTATGGCCACCCAGCACGCCTGGTTCTCCAGGCCAGTGAAGTGCTTGTATGTACACCACCTCGCAGCCACATAGTTCAAAGCTGCCCCATGCCGCCTCCTCAGCAGGTGTGAGACAGCGTCACTCAGGACCACAGTGCCCACCTGCTGCCCCAAGATTTTCCTTGTACTTGAAGCCTTTTTCTCAAAGTGTGGACCCGGCACTGCCTGAATCCAAATCAGCTGGGGTTGCAGGGGAGGAGGGCGCTTCTCAAAAAGGCAGTCCTGGGCCTTGGTCCTAAACCCGAGAAAACGCTTCTACAAGCCTGAGAACTGAG